TTGCTCAGCCCTTAGTTTCCTCATAGGTACTCAGGCCTGCTTTGACTCCACTCACTCCTAGCATTCCAGGCTCATGGAGAACTGTCCATACATGTTCAGAGTGCATGTCTGGAGGACTCAAGGACATTTGGCAGGGGAAAATTCTGCCCCCATTACCCCTTTTTCATATGGTTCTGCATTTTCTGAGTCCATGTTCTGGTGCTTCGGATAGATTCCACGTTATGGCTCAGCTTCATGCTGTGGCTACTCAAAATGGTCCTGTAAAGGGAGCAGAGGATTCTTATAGCAGAGGTTTCATGTCCTGCCACTTCCTTCATAGTAAAATAGCTGCACCTGCCTGGGCTATCTGTGTGTCCTGCTCTCAGAGATACTATACCCAGGAAGCAGTCCAGTGGGCATGTAGAGCCCTCTGCTATGTTTGCACCTGGGGAGATGAGGCAGTAGTCAAGGGTTTGCTTGGAATCAGAAATGTCCCCATGTGGCTAATCCTGCACTGTGTTCAGTGTCCATGAAGTATTCAGTCCCACCAAGCACTTATTTAGGGAACAGAAGGATGAGACCCGGAAGTACAGGTGGGTTGGATATTTGCTGTTCTGTGTGGAGTCCCTAAATCCATTTTTCCCTTGGTACAGAATGGGGAGTGTCACGAAGAGACCATCAAGTTTGGATTGGAATGTATGTATGTGGACAGCTGGGCAAGGAGGAGAACATATAATGCCTTCAAAGAAACTCTTGGCTCTGGAGTCAGGCACCACCTGCAGGTATGGGCAGAGAGCTTTATCGAAGGGTTTGGGGAAGGCTGACTTGGCAATTCAGTGCAGGACATAGTTGGCTATCACGATATGGTCAACCTCTTCCCAACATTGTGCCCTTCAGATGCATTGGATTGTAAATTCCATAATCCTACAAACAGCATAGCTGGCTGTGGGATTATGGATTCTTCTTCATGGCCTCTGTGAATGCACACAAATGGGTTTTACTGCACCCGTGCAAAGCTTAAAAAGACATGATTAGTAGGATGTTGCCCCATGGCGCGCATGCTCCGCCCGCCCGTAGTACCTCAGTTCCTTTTAACTACCGCTGAAATCAGACTTCTGTAGTGATTACTAGAGCGATTTTCTGATTTTCTCAATCTTGCGTTTTTTTGATCTTACAGACTTACTTATGTTTTCGATTTCTGGATTATGAACTTTATCAGTTATTCATTTACGGACATTTCCCTGTGAGTTATCCAAGTCTCCATGTTATGGCCACTCTGAGGCTGATGTCATATCCAGCCCGTCCTCGGTCCGTTCTAGCCCTGTTTCGACCAGGCAGACAACTGTCATCCATCTCTCAAAATTGGAGGCATCGGTCTCACAGTCCCCTCTGTGTAATAGGGCAGTGAAGTGGCACCATGTTTCCCCGTCTTCTCAGTATCAGGAGGTAATCTTTGTCCTGCGTTTTGTCGCAATGGCACTCGCTTTCTAAAATAGAGAGCCTGTTTATGAGGTCGGCTGACGCGATGAACGCTATAGATAGCTTTGATGAGTTCAATCCGCGATTTGAACAGGATTACTATGAGTGTCCCAAGCGTGTTCACTAGGTTTATGTCCCATCAGAGTCCTCACCATCACCGTCGGCTCCTCCTATTCAGAGTCTGCATCGAGCCTGTTATCAACCTGATCTTATGCTACTGACCTCTAAGAAAACTAAACAGCGTCTGTCTCAGCTGGATGTCTCTCGATGCAATCCAGCTTCTGCTCAACACGAGCTGTTCCATCCAAGCGCTTGCATGCTTCTTTGGTGCCCTCGGCTTCGACATCGCGCCCCACAACCACTTTCTCTGCATCCCAATCCGCCCGTCTTGTCCCGATACTGATCCCTCTTTCAACTGCTCAGGCCCATCAACGCTCTACTTCATCAACTCTCCCCATCTCTGGAAATTCCTCTGTTTTGACAACTTCTGAACATGATCCTCCCTCTGAAGCTTCCAGAGAGTCTCCGTCGAATTTACCGACACCGAATTCGGATGTTGCAGATGTTCATCCTCCGTCCCCCTTTGAAGACTTTACCTCTTTGAATGGCCAAATCGTTGAAGCTCGATATCGAGCAACCTCTTCCCCATAGGCATGACCTCCTCTTAGACAATATCAATCAGTATAAATTCCCTCCATTGAGTCTGGCTTTCATACCAGCGATGCTGGACCTTACTAAAGAATCATGGGACAAGCCATCCACCTCCCTCCAAGTTTCCAGATGGACTGAGAATCACTATCGAACACTGTGCCGACACAGCTTTCCTTGTCAATCATCCTGCTCCAGATTCTATTATTGTCCGGTCTAATCAATCTCGCGCAGTCACCCCCACTAACCAAGAGGGCAGAAAGTGGGACGTTCTTGGTTTGGCCCACTCCATGTTGAAAGTTTATATTTCTACAATAATATCCTATCAACCTATTGGATCTGAGGCCTCTTGTCTGTTTTCCCATCCAACTCTCAAGATGTTTCTTAGAGGCTTGCAGAACATTGCCCACCTGTGCGATCGTCACTCCCTTAGTGGTCCCTCCAAGTTGTTCTCCATGTTCTCACTCGCCCTCCTTTTGAGCCCATTGCTTTGACACATCTCAAACTTCTCTCCCTCAAAACTCTTTTTCTTGTAGCTATAATGTCTGCATGTCGAGCAAGCGAGCTGGCTACCCTTCGGGCTGACACTCCTTATGTTCAGTTTTATCCAGACAAAGTTGTCTTGTACGCAGATGTCACCCTCCTCCCTAAAGTGATTTCAGATTTCCATGTTAATCAGCCTTTGATTCATCCGACATTGTTTCCATCTCCCTCTTATGATGTTGATCATGTGCTCCGCACATGCTCCGCACATGCTCAGTTTCCAGGACTAAGGATTTCGCACTTCTCCCAGACTATTTGTGTGCTTCCATGGCCCATGGAAAGGTTCTCCGGTCTCTTCACAGACAGTCTCAAGGTGGATGGTCTCTGCCATTACTTTGGCTTATGACTTGGCAGGCACAGCTCCACCAGATGTGCTAAAAGCGCACTCTACAAGACCAGTGGCCACTTCCACTGCCATGGCGTTGAAGTCCCTGACATTTGTTGGGTGGCCACTTGGTCAACTCCCTTGACTTTGTGACACATTACCGTCTGGATGTCAGGGCCAAGAAAGAAGCAAGTTTCGGAAGGGCTGTGCTGACTTCATTGTTGGCGTGACGACCCTCCTTCCGGTAAGTGAGCTTGCTAGTCACCCATTTGTGTGCATTCACAGAGGCCACAAAGAAGAAAGAGAGGTTACTTACCTGTAACCATGGTTTTTTGAGTGGTCCTCTGTGAATCCGCACATCCCACTCATCGTCCCCGCTGTCTGTCACTTGGTGTCTTGAGCTTTGTTTTGGTCAGAGCCTTGACAGCAGCAGACATTTTCAGAACTGAGGTATAACGGGCAGGCAGAGCATGCGTGCCACGGGACAACATCCTACTAATCATGTCTTTTTAAGCTCTGGAATATTCTGAGAAGTCCTGTGCAGGCGCAGTAAAACCCATTTGTGTGGATTCACAGAGGACCACTCGAAGAACTATGGTTACAGGTAAGTAACCTCTCTGTATTATGGCTACAAACAAATGCCTACACATTATTAAATATAGTTCCTAAGTACTTCAGACACAGACCATATATAATTGAGTCTGCATCAAATATGTAATATAAGGAAGTTTTGCACAAGTGATGATCCACAAGGTCCCTTCCAGCTCTGCTGTTCTAAGATTATGAGAGAAGCTTCCTTTGGAATCTTAATTCTGCTACTTAAGATTCCAAAGGAAGCTTCTCCTATGGAATTTCCATTAAAAAAAATACATTGGCCAAAATTCCATTGCTTAGCATAGTAAATCACACCAGAGTAGGCTTACTGACCCAATGGGAATTTGGTGAATCAACTGCATAGGTTCAATTGATTCAAATATGTCTGCTCTAAAATGTGGCTTATTTTAGCATCGAAAGTGTG